TCCAGAATATTGAGTCATTGAAACTGAAAGAGTGCATCCCGAATGGAGGCAGCAAACAATGTACCAGGCCAGCTGTGATTTACAACCTGATAGCAATATTTATTTGGACTACCAAGAAAGGTATTGGTGAATTACATTAATCATTGAACTGCATCCATCTATTCTGCCAACAATGCCTTAGTGTACGTCATGGAACGTTGAGTCAAATATAACCTATTTTAAAAAACCTCTTATAAAGTTTGTTTTGTAGCATAAACTGGGAATGTGATATTTTTTACCAATATTATGATTGTCTGTTTGATTCATATCTGCAAAGTAGTTAAAACGCTGTCGGTTCCACTTTAAACTTTAGGTCACCGGTTACTTTGTGTGCTAAACGTGAAATGTTTTTTGCAATGGGAAGTAATATTTGTACATTTCGATTGGGAAATGCTTAATGGTTGTGTTTTTGTATTCTTATGATTGGGATCTACTGCCTTATTATGTCAGAGTTTATGGACTGCTTATCCTTTAACATTATACTGTGTGACTGCTTATCCTTTAACATCATACTGTGTGACTGCTTATCCTTTAACATCATACTGTGTGACTGCTTATCCTTTAACATCATACTGTGTGTGACTGCTGTCTTTCCATTGGCCCTATGCAGTGGTGCCTGGAGTGGGTATACTCAAATCTTGCCAAAATGTTCCCAAAAGGCCCAGTGAAGGAAAGGCACCCTGTGTGAAAAATCCTATGTTTTCCTATGTTTTTTCATGAGTTTTCCTATACATTTTTTCGATTTTCATTCTCAAATTCACACCTTTTTCTGTTGTTGAAAAAATACACAAATTTGATGGTCTAAAGTCTACAACAATGCTTAAACCACATCAATCTGATTGGGTGGGCCTGTGCTTTGTGATTGTGTAGGCTACTTTGTGCATGATTTCTCTATCGTACTACATAATTGATATGGCATATACCTCCACTGCACTACTTTGATACACATCAGTAGGGATTAACAAGTGAGTATACGCAATGCCCACTGAAAAAAAGTGGGTATACGGTTTATACCTGCGTATACCCTCCACTACACCACTGGCCCTTTGTGTTTTACAAAAAGTGCACTCTCCTACATGAGTGCGCTGGTATTACGGTTGCTGTCCTTTCAGAATCACGAACCTGTCACACACTGAAGGCCTATAGGTTCGCCACTGCGCAAACATGTCTATAATAGATATAAAGGCTGTTAAGATACTGTATTAACGTTTCAAGAAAGGAGTGTATTTATTTGGCCTGACAAAGTGGTTTTATGACTGAATGGAAGCTGATAATTATGAGTTTTTAACTTGGCTGGTCTCTGGAAGAAATTACGAGTCCTCACTGTCCGAGACTGAGTCAAGACTCAAGACCGAGTACAAATGTGCGGTAGCAGAGAGAACAGTCTATGACTTGGGTGGCTGGAAGGGCCTTCCTCTGACACCGCCTGGTATAGAGGTCCTGGATGGCAGGGAGATCGGCCACAGTGATGTACTAGAACGTACGCACTACCCTCTGTAGCGCCTTGCGGTCTGACTTTTTGAGGATCTGAGAGCCCATGCCACATTTTTCAGCCTCCTGAGGGGGAAGAGGCGTTGTCGTGCCCTCTTCATGACTGTGTTGGTGATATGATACACTACATGACCAAAAGTATCTGGACACTTGCTTGTCGAACATCTCATTCCAAAATCATGGGCATTAATATGGAGTTGATCCCCCCTTTGCTGCTATAACAGCCCCCACTCTTCTGGGAAGGCTATCCACTAGATGTTGGAACATTGCTGCGGGGACTTGCTTCCATTCAGCCACAAGAGCATTAGTGAGGTCGAGCACTGATGTTGGGCGATTAGGCCTGGCTCGCAGTCGGTGTTCCAATTCATCCCAAAGGTTTTCGATGGGGTTGAGGTCAGGGCTCTTTGCAGGCCAGTCAAGTTCTTCCACACGATCTCGATAAATCATTTCTGTATGAACCTCGCTTTGTGCACGTGGTTATTGTCATGCTGAAACAGGATAGTGAAGTGTGATTCATCACTCCAGAGAACGCGTTTCCACTGCTCCAGAGTCCAATGGTGGCGAGCTTTACACCACTCCAGCCGACGATTGGCATTGCGCATGGTGATTCCAGGCTTGTGTGCGGCTGCTCGGCCACGGAAACCCATTTCATGAAGCTCCCGACAAACAGTTATTGTGCTGACGTTGCTTCCAGCGGCAGTTTGGAACTCAGTAGTGAATGTTGTAACCGAGGACAGACGATTTTTACGCACTACGTGCTTCAGCACTCGGCGGTCCGGTTCTGTGAGCTTGTGTGGCCTACCACTTCGTGGCTGAGCCGTTGTTGCGCTTAGACGTTTCCTCTTCACAATAACAGCACTTACAGTTGACCGGCGCAGCTCTAGCAGGGCAGAAATTTGACAGTGTCACGTTGAAAGTCACTGAGCTCTTCAGTAAGGCCAGTCAACTGCCAATGTTTGTTTATGGAGATTGCATAGCTGTGTACTTGATTTTTTTACACCTGTCAGCAACGAGTGTGGCTGGAATAGCCGAATCCACTAATTTTAAGGGGTTTCCACATGCTTTTGTATATATAGTGTAGATGTGGACACAGAGGAACTTGAAGCTCTCGACCCGCTCCGCTACAGACCCGTCGATGTGAATGGGGGCGTGCTCTTGACCCGCTCCGCTACAGACCCGTCGATGTGAATGGGGGCGTGCTTGGCCCTTCTTTTCCTTTAGGCCACGATCAGTTCCTTTGTCTTGCTGACATTGAGGGATGTCTCTGACCTCCTCCCTATAGGCTGTCTCGTCGTCGTCAGTGATCAGGCCTACCACCTTTGTGTCGTCGGAGAACGTAATGATGGTGTTGGAGTCGTGCACGGCCACACAGTTGTGGGTGAACAGGGAATACAGGATGGGACTAAGCAGGAAGTCAGGAAGTCCAGGATCCAGTTGCAGAGGGAGGTGTTCAATCCCAGGGTCCCTAACTTAGTGCTGAGCTTGGAGGGCACTATGGTGTTTGTTGAATGCTGAGCTGTAACCAATGAACAGCATTCTCACATAGGTGTTCCTCTTGTCCAGGTGAGAAAGGGCAGTGTGGAGTGCAATAGAGATTGCGTCATCTGTGGATCTGTTGGGGCGGTATTCGAATTGGAGTGGGTCCAGGGTGTCTGGGATGATGGTGCTGATGTGAGCCATGACCATCCTTTCAAAGAATTTCATGGCTACAGATGTGAGTGCTACAGGGCGATAGTCATTTAGACAGGTTACAGTACCTTGACGTTCTTGGGCACAGGGACTATGGTGGTCTGCTTGAAACATGTAGGTATTATTGACTGGGTCAGGGAGAGGTTGAAAATGTCAGTGAAGACATTTGGTAGCTGGTCAGCGTATGCTCTGAGTACGCGTCCTGGTAATCTGTCTGGCCTTTGCGCCTTGTGAATGTTACCCTGTTTAAAGGTCTTACTCACATCGGCTATGGAGAGCGTGATCACACAATCGTCCGGAACAGCTGGTGTTCTCATGCATTGTTCAGTGTTGCTTGCCTTGAAGCCAGCATTGAAGGCATTTAGCTTGTCTGGTAGCCTTGCATCACTGGGCAGCTCGTGACTGGGTTTCCCTTTGTAATCTGTGATAGTTTGCAAGCCCTGCCATATCCAACCAGTGTCAGAGCCAGTGTAGAAGGATTTGATCTTGGTCCTGTATTGACGCTTCGCCTGTATGACGCTTCATCGGAGGGCGTAGCGGGATTTCCTACAAGCGTCCGGATTAGTGTCCCGCTCCTTGAAAGTGCCAGCTCTAACCATTAGTTCAGTGCGGATGTTGCCTGTAATCCATGGCTTCTGGTTGGGATGTGTACGTACGGTCACTGTGGGGACATCATCATCGATGCACTTATTAATGAAGCCGGTGACTGATGTGGTAAGCTCCTCAATGCCATTGGATGAATCCCAGAACATATTCCAGTCTGTGCTAGCAAAACAGTCCTGTAGCTTAGCATCGGCTTCATCGGACCACTTCCATATTGAGTGCATCACTGGTATTTCCTGTTTGGGTTTTTGCTTGTAAGCAGGAATCAGGAGGATAGAGTTATGGTCAGATTTGCCAAATAGAGGGAGAGTTAGCTATGTATGCCTTTTACTGTATGCGTTTCTGTGTGTGGAGTAAAGGTGATCTAGAGTTTTTTTGCCTCTAGTTGGACAGGTGACATGCTGGTCAAAATGTGATAAGACTGCACAAAAAAACACAAAATAGCAGAATTGGTCAGGAGCCAATTAAAACAGCTGCTATCCATTGCATTCCATACACTATCATGGCTCAGGCTAAGACCCAGATGCAGACACAGTAGGCAGTTGGCTGTCAGCATAGGATAAACCTTTTTGGTTCCATTGGAGAACCCTTTTTGGATCCAGGTAGAACCCTTTTTGGTTCCATTGGAGAACCCTTTTTGGTTCCAGATAAAACCCTTTTTGATTCCATGTAGAACCCTCTGTGGAAAAGGTTCTACATCGAACCCAAAAAGGTTGTAACCGGAACCAAAAGGGTTCTACCTGGAACCAAAAAGGGTTCTTCAAAGGGTTATCCTATGGGGACAGCTGAAGAACCCTTTTAGGTTCTAGAGAGCACCTTTTTTTTCTAAGAGAATACCTCTTCAGTTTTATCAGTGGAGTGAAGTCCACTGGCTGACCTCAACCCAAATGTCAAATATAAACATCAATATCAACCTGCACAAACACAGTCTAAATGAGACTGGACCTCTCCAGGCCTTATGAAAACCTCCACTGGCCCTATCCCACACACACACACTCCTCCCTCACTCTCTCTCCTGAGTCTTATATAGGGAGTGACGTCTACAGCTCTGCTGGGAGATCCTTCTCTATCCAGGGCAGTGGGGCCCGGCCAACAGAGGCTGTTTAGAGCCTGAGCCTGTCCAGCTCTAACACATGAAACAGCTGTATTCAGCTGTAGCCAGGGCTGGGCCTGTAAACCTAAGCCACAGATCTGAGGGCCACATAAGAGTAATCCCTCAGCTCGGACCCACAGTCCGGCTGGAAGCCATGCTGCTCTGTCTGGCCTGAGGAATGAAAGGGCTTAGCAAGGCAAGTGACACATGACACACACTGATCATCTCTTTCAACGGCCTCCTCTGATATTATTTTATTCCGCACTTCGGAATACATAAATAAAACACATAATCATGAAACCTATGACTGAATCGAGTATTGGGCTAGGAATGAACAAACAGACGCCAGTCTGTCTCTTTAAAATGATCTCAGCCGAGACCCTCTGATCGGGTACACTGAATACCCTGTCAGATTATTTAGTATAGGGGAGGCTTTCTCTTTAACAAAACATAAACAATCACATCCCTCTATGGGTGGTTGTGGAACATGTCTATCTGTAAGTGTGTAATACCAAATGTGTCTGTGTGTGTGTGTATACAGTATACAGTGTGTGTGTGTGTGTGTGTGTGTGTGTGTGTGTGTGTGTGTGTGTGTGTGTGTGTGTGTGTGTGTGTGTGTGTCCGTGTGTGTGTGTGTGTGTGTGTGTGTGTGTCTGTGTCCGTGTGTGTGTGTCCTACCTGCCAGCACGCTGCAGGTGATAGCCTCTGTGTGTTCTGCCAGTAGTTCAGGCTTAGCCATGGCAGCCAGAGAGAGATAACTGGACATGTTTCTACTGAGCTCTCTGTTGCCTCTCTGTAGAAACCTCACTGCCACCGGCACTGCTAGAGCCATCACTGGGGGACGACTGTAGTTCTGTAGGAGGGAGAGAAGGCAGGCAGACAGAAAGAGAGAGACAGAGAACAGAGGAGATTGTGGTGAGAGAGGACAGGAGAGATTGAGAGACGATTGGAGAGACGAGAGGGAGAGGAGAGAGATGGAGAGAGGATTCGAGAGAGGAGAGAAGAGAGAGAGAAGGGGAGAGAGAGACGAGGAGAGAGACGGAGAGAGCGACGGACAGGAGAGGAGAGAGAGAGGAGAGAGAGAGAGAGAGGGGGGGGGGGGGGGGGAGAGAGAGAATTGATGCCCTGATGAATTGAGGCTGTTCTGAGGGCAAAAGGGCAACTCAATATTAGGAAGGTGTTCCTAATGTTTGGTATACCCTCGTGTATATTCACGCATATACCCAATTTATATAATGTGGCCCGGGCCCCTTTTATAACAACTCTAGTTTATACCATGCCACAGTGTCGGCATGTAGGTACCATGCTCCAATCAACTGGGCCATTAGAACCACTGTGTCCGAGTTGGGCCCAACCCAGACCACAATAACAGATCAGAATGTGCTAATCAGAATAATGGACTAGAGTAGACCATAGAGGTTCTCACCACTTACATCACAGATCTCAAACATGTATGATGTGTGTGTGTGTGTGTGTGTGTGTGTGTGTGTGTGTGTGTGTGTGTGTCCATCCTCTTTAGGGCCTATATGAACCTTTAGTGACGCACATGGACAATTTAAGGGAATATAATAGAACAGAACAGATTAGGGGAACGGAGGACAACATATTGCTTCTTCCCATAAACACTCATTTCTGAGCTCAAGGAGAGAGTGTATGTGTCTATGCATGTCCCACGGCCTATTTTGACATCCACTAGCGCCCCCAAGGGGATGGTTTGGGAACATTTAGAAGGGCTAGAAATGGGCAAAGGTACTGTCCAACTGTTCTCCTGAAGAGCTAAATTGTATCCAGACTTTTTAAAATCGGTTGTGTTAATGCTGGGCAGAAACACAAGCCCTATGGTCTGAAGTTGACCAGAACTTGGTTTGGTGACCACTGAGTTAGCGCTTCAATCTTCTATCACCATAAGACAAACACTGAAACATACCCAAACAACTATACTATACTCTAACAGAAAACAACTATACAATACTCAAACAGAAAACAACTATACTATACTCTAACAGAAAACAACTATACAATACTCAAACAGAAAACAACTGTAATTTACTCTAACAGAAAACAACTATACTATACTCAAACAGAAAACAACTGTACTTTACTCTAACAGAAAACAACTATACAATACTCTAACAGAAAACAACTATACTATACTCTAACAGAAAACAACTATACTTTACTCTAACAGAAAAAAACTATACTATACTCTAACAGAAAACAACTATACTATATACTCTAACAGAAAACAAATATCCTTTACTCTAACAGAAAACAACAATACTCAAACAGAAAACAACTATTCTATACTCTAACAGAAAACAACTATACTATACTCTAACAGAAAACAACTATACTATACTCTAACAGAAAACAACTATACTATACTCAAACAGAAAACAACTGTACTTTACTCTAACAGAAAACAACTATACAATACTCTAACAGAAAACAACTATACTATACTCTAACAGAAAACAACTATACTTTACTCTAACAGAAAACAACTATACTATACTCTAACAGAAAACAACTATACTATATACTCTAACAGAAAACAAATATCCTTTACTCTAACAGAAAACAACATACTCAAACAGAAAACAACTATCCTATACTCTAACAGAAAACAACAATACTCTAACAGAAAACAACTATACTTTACTCTAACAGAAAACAACTATACTTTACTCTAACAGAAAACAACTATACTTTACTCTAACAGAAAACAACTATACTATACTCTAACAGAAAACAACTATACTTTACTCTAACAGAAAACAACTATACTTTACTCTAACAGAAAACAACTATACTATACTCTAACAGAAAACAACTATACTATACTCTAACAGAAAACAACTATACTATACTCTAACAGAAAACAACTATACTATACTCTAACAGAAAACAACTATACTTTACTCTAACAGAAAACAACTATACTATACTCTAACAGAAAACAACTATAATATACTCTAACAGAAAACAACTATACTATACTCTAACAGAAAACAACTATACTATACTCTAACAGAAAACAACTATAATACACTCTAACAGAAACAACATACTATACTCTAACAGAAAACACAATACTTTACTCTAACAGAAAACAAACTATACTTACTCTAACAGAAAAACACTATACTATACTCTAACAGAAAACATCTAACTATACTCTAAAAGAAACAACTAACATATATAAAAGAAAAAACTATCCATATCTAAACCCAAAAAAACTAACTTTCTCTTAACAGAAAACAACTATCTTACCTAACAGAAAAAAACTTACTATATTAAAAGAAAAAACATATTTACTTAACAAAAAACAACATACTTTACTCTAAAAGAAAAAAACATAATATACTCTAACAAAAAAATATACTTAAATTAACAGAAACAAAAAATACTTTACTCTAACAAAAAAACTAACTTTTCTCTAACAGAAAAAAACATACTATCTTAACAGAAAACATCTAACATATCTTTAAAAAAAACAAATATATATACTCAACAGAAAAAACTGTACTATACTCTAAAAAGAAAAAAAAAAAACAAACTCAAACAAAAACAACTATCCATACTCTAACGAAAACCAACAATACTCTAAAAAGAAAACAAAAATAACTT